GGGGGGGGGGGGGGGGGGGGGGGGGGGGGGGGGGGGGGGGCGGATTGAAGCAATTTGAATGAGGAGGGGAGAAAATTGAGAGCCAGTAGAAGTACCTTGTGTGCGAATGCAAGAGATTTTTATCCTCCGCCTGATACATTTCACTTGGTGAATAGGATTATTCACATTGTACTCGTTTATTCACTTCTTTTTTAGATTATATTTAAAATTTTAAAACAATGGGATGATTATGGATAGTTCGTGGAGGAAAAAAAATCCCGACCTATTATATCAATTCAATGTTTAATTATCACCCGTCACTTTATATGCACTTTGTGAGTTTCATATTTTTTTTTAAATTAAATACATATCCAACAGGTGGCATGAACATTAGACTGGGCGACAATAAACGAATTAATTTTTTTACTTTATAATTTTATTGTGTTTCCTTTCATTAGTAAATGTAAAATCGAACTATTAGCATTTGTCAAAAATTCTATAACTGTCTCTATAGTCATTTTATCTGCTATTTGATCTTAATTTAACGCCCGAAATAATCGATTGGGTAATCAATAGTGAAGCATATGGTTAGTTTAAATCGATCTCAACTTACAATACCTATGAGCGCTTTTTAAGACATGGCTAAACTTAGACTGGGTGAGATTACTAAATAGAATTAGGAGGAGGAGGAGGAGATAGCTTCCTGCATTTTATCGCCCGCCGCATTTGAGCAGCTTTGAGTATTGACCTGGTCTTGAGACTGCCCATCATATCAACAGTCCCCCCCTCCCACCACCCCCCTATCCAACCTCTCTTAACTTTCAAAATTTCTTGGGCTCGAAACTGGGACTACTGGTACCCTACTACTGCTCTAGCTGCTACAAAGCAGCAAAAACGCAGTAATGTAACCATTACTCGTCTAATGTTTGTGCATTCGCATTAATATCTCCCACACACACACACACACACACACACTCTCTCTCTCTCCCTCTTCAACATTCATGGGTACGCACGTGCCTCAAAATATCCCCAATTTCCTTCTCAGGGGAGGAAACAGAACTGCAAACCACATTGGTCCCTTGCACATTCTACACATTTCGAGATTGAATAAAATTACGGCAGAATAGGAAAATACATGCCTTTAATGAATTTATCTTCAATAAAACAGACAGACGGTGAATCATCTTGTGGATAATTCTGACAGACAGAATAATTGAAAAGAATGAGCCTGTACAGTTCTCTAGGATCTTAAGCCTTCAAGAAGGTTCAAAAGCATTGCTGAGTTAAGAAGTTCAGGATATAATAGTATGCGTGCAAAGTTGAAGACCGATAGACTATTGTAAACGCACAGACAGTTTAAAAAACTTTAGCCGGTCTATTATGTATGCTACATGTTGATCTAGTTCATATCGTGTCCACTTTTTCAATAAAAAAGTATTAATAATTGAATTGCTCCATTTTAAATCAAAGAGTTATTTCCCAATCGCAGTTAAGCAGAACAATTTTATAAGAAACTTGCAAATTATCTGTGTTTAAAAGGAAATATGGCGAATTGTATCTATAATTTGATGGCCGGTAAGATTTTGAAAATCCTTAAACTCTCAATCATATCTCTCGCCCCACTAAGAAGTTTTCGCGCATAACTTCTTCGTTAAAATACAAGAGTGCTAACCTTGAATTAACCATTAAGTATGATTTAACACTTAATTCTTTAAACAGTATAATAAGGTGAGTATTTAGAATTTCAATTTCTCACCCATCACAATTTGACAGTCTCCTTTCATTTATATCATTTTCATCTAATAAAAGTTTTTGAACTTAACATAACTTAAAACATCTTACATATCGAAATGACTGATTACATTAGTCAAGTGAATAAGCTTTCTGGATAAATAACTTCGAATTTGCGGCTTACCGACAGAGAATTTTACTGACGCAACCATGCGAGACCCGTAATCGGCGAGAGATATCACAAGGTCGAATATTGGAGTGCGCCATCTCAACGATCCTTTGTCGAATCTCATCGGGCAGAGGACGTCCATTCACAAAGCTACCTCCCAATTGATTTACGTTTCCATGAGCTAGGGTAAGCAAGAAATCTCGTTAAAGTACCTGATGATGAGCCTTCTATTTTTAGCCTGTGGAGAGGAAATACACTTCGGCGTGAATACCTAATTTATAATCTTTTCATTCATTTCCCGAGTGTATACTCGTGGTAGATCTGGCGGTAAATTTTCAACAAACTTATTAAAGTTGGAAGGCCGAAGACTTGAAAATAGCAAAAAAGCGGATTGCTCAATTTCGGCAGGTCAAAAAGCCAAGGTGGGGAAAAGTGGGCGGAACTATTTGAAATGGCGGTATTTGGCGATTTTTTAGTTGAAACTCAAATATGATGAAAATATGAGGATACAGCATTTCAGTGACACGTTATCTTATTTAGAAAATCATTTATTTAGTTTCCGCGATATATTTCGAAGGACGAAGTTTGAGTGCTCCATTTAAATTCCAATTTCGTTAAATAAGTGGGGTAAATAACTTAACTAAGGTTAAATTCATCAAAATTTAACTTAATTTGAGAATTAAAAGGTCGGCAATTTATCAATTTGAACAATGATTGAATATTTTCTCTAAACCTGAAATTCTTTTAAAAATAAAAGGAGTGAGTACCATTATTACTTGTGTATATGTTAGAATTCGGACATCAAAATATCATTTAATCGTAAGGCCTGTTTCTTCTTTTTATTATTATTCACTTTAAGAATTCTTTCTTTTTTCTATTTCATTTGAAATGTTATGACTTGGGAACACCGCTAACATGATACCGGAGAAAAAAATCACTTGGGAAATCTACCTCCAAATTGTCGGTTTCATTAAAACCACCCAGTTACTTCCTATGTGTTTGTGAGCTGTAAATTAAAATAAACAAAGTATTGCCAATACCACCTTCATTGGACAGATTTTTTCTTCCGCCACCCGCTTAGAACGAAAAAAAGTAATTGACGAATGCCCTAGTACACCAGGGAATATCGATGAGGATAAATTTAGAAACCCAGATACAATATCAACAATATCTTAAAACAATCCTTTTTATTTCGGACAGAAAAATGCATATGAGCAGTCATGAGAGAAGGAAAATGTCTCCATTTTCGTATTGATTTTAATTGGATATCTTGAATGCATGCCACATTGTATATTATGCCGACTACTCTGCAAGGTATCATTAACAAAAGTCCTTTTTCTTAGAACTATTTTTTCATGAATGATTCATATGGGGAGAAAGGTGAAAAGAGGGGAACTAAATGTGTTGTCACGTTCTCAGGTTGGAAGAAAAGCTTCCCACTGCGGGAACCCGAAAGCGTCTCGAATTTCGCTGATGGGATAACCCCCATCGCCTCACACGCAAAAGGAGTAACGAAGTCAGTTCTTACCTTCACTCTTCTAGACCTTCGCACCTCCCCCCCCCACTCACACCCCCCNCCCCCCCCCACTCACACCCCCCCCCTCCCCCTCACACCATTCAATACGCCACTTCCTTAGGATGGCGCTAAATTTCTGTAATAAAATTTCGTTACAAATTTCTTCCCTCCCCTAAGGATGCACAAACGTCCCTGATGAATGAAGGAGACTCAAAGAGTGATATGATTCATAAAAACGCTCCAAAAAATACGAAAGACTCTGGTGGCCCGAATTCCTTTTGCTCATTTAAAAAAATCAATAAAATAAATGCGTTGCAATTGTCATTATCCGAACAATAACTCCTACTGAGTGCCTTAAATGGCATATTAAGGAATTTGACGCATAAAAATAAAAATTTTTCCAAAAGGCAAGGAAACATAAGTTTATCAAAAATTCACTTCAACCTGGTGTATGCCGACTGACCTCTCTTTCCAACCTAACGCAAGCCCGTATTTAAGTCGTGATCAGATGGACCAATGGTTTTAAACAAATCAACCCCAGATAGACAGATAGAGAGAAAAATGTTCGCCATTTCGCTCCTCTGGGGGGGGGGGGAGTTGATGAATGTTGTATCAACAAGTAACTTGCGAAGTCAGCTTGAAAACATCAGCCTTAGATACTATTGGCCGACATAAAACCGTGTCTCATATTTATGGCCAAAATATTTTCAAAGTCACATTGAAAACCATAAATACATTTGATCTCCTTCAAAAAATGTACCTAGCGTTAGGTACAGCACAGCGATGGAACAAATTCAATTTCGAATTGAATGTGCTCATGTTTTGATGTCCGGTTTCATTAAAACCGTTGCTAATAGATCATTTGCCAAATCAATAGTTTTTTTCAAAACAAATTCACACGTTATTGATAATGGGAAAGTATAAGGTAAGAAAGTTACGTCGTATAAACCCTCTTTTGTACTAAACCAGAAAAGTGCATCTTAACACTTGGCTTTAAATAAAAAAAATGTATCAGCTTTATTTATGCCATTTTAAATAACAAAATAATTTCCTATTGCACCATCAATTCTGATCACAGTGCTTAAATTAACAGATCAAATGAACACACCGGAATCCAAAATGCTTTTTTTTCAAAGAGAAACCTTGAGTAAAAAAAGGAAGGAATGGTGAAGAATTTTTGTTTTTCATGGCGTCAAATTTTTGGTCTCTGGGATTGGATAAAATTGGTTGGCATGTGTTAATGACCATAACCCAAATCCCCCCCCTCCCCACTGCTTTAACATGAAGTGACAGGAACAGTCCAATCGGATTTTGACTAGGACCAATACAAGAGAAAACGAAAGTACAACTGCGCCTACCCTTATTTTTCCCCGAATTCTTCCTGGAATAAAAATCCTCCAAGTATTGAGCCTGTCTGCAAACAGCCGCTGCAGCCATAGTGGCTGCAACTGTAGCATAGTCCGGTGGTTCACACTTAGTCTGATAATTATGTTGCCAATTGGATTCGAAGTTCACAGTCGTATTATGGGACAAAAAGTTACCCGAATCCTCCCCTGGACTACCGTAACGTGGTTGGGCTTGATTTCCACTTCCATAGGTGAAAACCTCTCCAGGAGAACTAGCATGTCGTGAGTAGGGATAAACAAAAGGCGTAGCGGCTGCTTGAATATACGCTGTTTCTTTAAAGTTTGTCATCTGCCAAGGAAGATGGTTGGCACTTGTGCTAGTACTATCAGACATTGAGTCTGCAGAGGCAGAATTGTTAAATTCAGACTGAGATTGATGACTTGTTTGATGGGACTGATGCTGGGGAAGGCTGTTGGATGTGACCTCGTGATTCTGATGCTGATCCCAAAGGCTCATGCTGTTCAAACACATTACAGCAGTATGGGAAGAATAGCAAATGAAGTGTGTGTGTGTAAACGACACGATGTCTGTTTAGTCAAATGGAACAGCCAGGAAGTAGTTGATGACAGTGGTAGTAGTGTGGCGACAAAGACACAGGGAGGTGGACCAGTGGGCAGTGAATGGAGTGAAGAAATGGGAGAGGGGGGGGGGGGGGGGGAGGGGACGGAGTTGAGTTGGTTACGCGCGAAAACCTGACACTTTACCACCCGCTTACCCTCACGTCCGCACTCGCTTAGTGTAGCTACGCCAATCACCTCCCACTCCCGATAACCAATGGCACATGGCCACTTGAGTACTATTCCATACGTAAGCGTTTTAATAGGCCTTATTCCGAATGCCATGTTCCAATTCATACTTTAGATCAAGCGGCTGGTTTGGCAAATTAGAGCGAACCTTATAACACGTTCAAATGAATCAAGATTAAATTGAGATGAAGTAAAATTATTATTGAATAATGAATAGAAAAGTCCTGAAAGGTATGAGAATTTGAGCTATCGCTGAAGATAACTGAAAAGCTTCGTATGGTAAATCATTGATATATTGATTTTAATGTTAATTTTTAAAATTATTTGAGCATATGATGTCAAACTGGGCTTGTGGAGGGGGGGGGGTAGAAATAAATGGACCACAAGTAGAGTATGGTAATAAAGCCATTAGTGGAATTCCAGCAACTAATCAGAGAAGTCGAAAAGGAGTTTCCAAAAGAGAATTGACAAATAAAATACGTATTATATAATTGATAACCCAAAGCATTTTTCTTACTATCTTTGAATAATTATAGACTTTAGATAATACAAATATTCATTTGCTTTGAAAATCACCCCAATCCCCCCCCCCCAAAACCCCACCTCTCCCCTTCAAATCTTGTTATATGACGCTCAAAAAAAAGCAAACGGATAATTTAACTTATAATATTTATTATTAGTCATTTATTATTTATTATTATTTTTGGTAATTGCATATCTGTAATCGAAAAACCTATCCGTGGATCCTTTAGAATGCAGTTAGTCCTACAGTCACGGGAATCTTATATTTAGGATTTAAATAAAACCCCTAGGTGGAGTTAAATTTGAGGCAAGAAAAATGTCGTGTGCTTTAAAGGCGGTAGAAACACATCCTCAAAAACACCCCTCCATAGAATTCCGAGGTGAATTTTTCGGCAAAGTGGAGGACAAGATGCGTAATCATTCATCCATTCAATCTCTGATGAAAAAGGGGCTACATTGCAGGAGAAATGATGTTCATGGATTAAACACCCCGAAAAAGGGGGGATATGGGAAATATCCCGAATGTAGAGCCTTTTTCAGAGTCTTCAATGAATACTTCAAGCTATATTTTGCCTCTAGAGTTAATTTAAGCCCAGTTTACATTCGAGCAGTTTCGATTTAAGATGTTCTTCAGAATGACCAAAATGGGGCAGAGGACTTTAATTGCAAAATTGAGTAATTCCTATTACATCACTAGTTGAATCACCACAGTAGGTAAAGTTATGAAGCAATGACTGCACAGAGCACTGATGCTGGCAGTGGGAATATTTTGCCGAAAACTGATTGGCTAATTTGTCTGCGCTGCCATGCGTGACCGCGCGACACATGGGATTGGTGAATGCAGCCATGCATCCGAGACCTCGTTCTGAACCACTTTCCACGAAGCCAAAAGCTTTCTTCTCGGCTGACGCAAAGGATCGATTATTGTCATGGCGATTGTAGTTATATGATATTTTAATTTCTATTAACCGATGTGATACGATGCGTAACATTCGAAATTCTATTGGTGGAAAATAGTACCATTGTGATAAGCAGGTAAACGAACGCCGCTTCGCGATTTCGAGAATCCAGTTAAGAATGCCTGATCATGGCTAATATTATAAGTTTTGAATAAAGAAATCCTAACTACTTATCAAATATTAACTGGATTGGTTGATAAGGAGTTATTTTCAAGCGAATTTCTAAAGAATGAAAGTATAAAAGGTTCCCATTATATCAATCAGTGACAAATTTTCGATAAGCTGTTCCAACAAATTAAAAGATTTCGCATTAATTTTCCCGTTTGCCATAATTCTTTCCATAAAAAGCGGAATTTCATTTCATTTAAATGCACCGCTTATAGATTAAAACGCATATTTAACTTAAATATTTGAACATCTATTTGCACTTTTAACTTTCGTGGATGTTAAGTGATTGAAAAATGCGTTTAAATGATGTAAGAGATTAGTTCAACTGGATTTATCAGCCGGTGCTCATTTTCATTATTGATGCACAATGAACAACTTTAAGAGACGGAATCTCTAATGTACTTTAGAGAATGAATATGGCTTATAATTACAAAATTTAATTGCAAAATCAATATGGTGCAATATCATAAAACGAGAAATTGTGCTCACTTGCTCGAGGTTGGCAGTAGTTCTCTTCACGTTGTGTTATGGAGATGTTTTCCTCAGAATAGTCACTGTGTTCGCTGAGTTGTTCAGACATGTCTATTTACATATAAATACGTGGAAGACTGAAAGGACAACGCGAGATAGATGGATCCAGAAGTTCAGAAGAAAGTCAGTAGTGAGCGGTTTCAAAATGAACTCCTACTCATGAACTAGATCACAAGCACAGTTAGAAAATGTGCAGCATGCGCCATTTATATACTCAATAGCCGTGTCAATACCCCCTACACATAGCACAGGTTGTCCCCGCGCTATTAAGGTCTTTGCGCGTCATTGTGTACTCTTCAAAACAGCTCTTGATTTGCTGATTCCTTCTTCTTCTTTCTTGCACCTACCACCTATCACCAGCTACAAAATATTGCTTCACTCTGATGACAAAATATATGGAGATAGGGATAGAGGAATCTATCTCTCGCATTAATAAATACTACTTAAGCACCTTTGAACAATAAAATCTCTAGTTAATTATAGATTTAATGGGCATAAAATTATGTTTCATAATCGTTTGATTTATGTGGAAATTAGTACAAAGAACATTATTCACAGATTTATAATAGCCATTCAAGTGACAGTTTACAATGAAATTAAAGTCAAATAAATGAAATGATTAAAATAAAATGACAAACTTATTAGAATAATAACTTCAAATAAATAATTAATTCATAAATTGTGTTTTAACTTTCACATTTCATTGCTGTTATCAAATTGATAAAACATTTTAGGTAGTTCGTTTACATTCTTTTAACAATCGTTAAAAACGGTCATTTGACCCTCAACTGGTAAATAAATGATTGAAATTCTGATGAGACAACCTTTTTCTCTTTTTTTTCAGTTAAATGGAGAAAAAGTTGCCTTCCCTCGAGTAAAGTTATACACGAGGTCAATATTTGCCTTTTTGTTGTAGGAAGCAAAAATAGTAAATAGCCATCAATTAAGATCGAATTCAAGGAGGGAATTTCACTTAGCAAATAAATTTAAATATTAGTAACTTGGAGCTGGAAAATTAAATAGGTCCTTCTGAGATGTATTTATACAGGGGGTAAACATCTAGAAGTGAAGATGTCGTTACTTTGTTCCGTTGTGTTTACTCGACTTGATACAAAATCTAAAGTCGGTTCCAGAGTGAAGTGAATACACCAAAAGTCCAACCATTTCCATTCTGAGCCCATTTTAAATTATATATGTGAGATATCGAGTGCTTATTAACTAAATATTTGCATTTAATAATGCATGAGAGACTGTTAGAAACACAATTGAGTAAGAGAATGGCATTGGAATCATTACCAGGGCTCTAGATAATGTCTCCGATAACGAATTTGGATGGTTATTGATGGGTCAAGAATGGAAAAGCAGTTAGTTCGGTGAAACCGTTTTAAACCAAGACTCAAGTAGGTTATCTAATTTGAATCATAAAATCAGCTTTTCCTTTGCGTGGCATTGAATTAAAAGCCCCAAATTAAGGGAATATTTAAAGCATTTAAAAGATAAAAGTAAACAAAGTGAGGCGTGATATACTCTTTCTGCGAATTTCTATTTTTTAAGTAAAACAAATTTTACTTGCGAATCTAAACTCTTACTTTCGTTGAGATCTTCTACTAATATTTTTGTAGAATTATGAAACACAAACCTTTTTTCCCAATTTTTTTCATCGACTTTATCTATTGTTACTTCAAAACTCGAGCCATTGTATATCGTTTTCTTTCCAAATTTGACTAACGGAGAGGAGACTTCAAATAGGGAGATTTTGTGAAGGGAGAGAGGGAGGGAGTGGTGGAACAAATAAGCCTTCAATGAACCCCAACCATCTCTATGGCGAAATTCCTTGTACTGTATGGCTCCCGAACTTAGCCCAGCTACCTTAACAATATTTAGGAAGCAGAAGGCATTGCGGGAAATACTTTTGATGAGGTTGTGGTGATTAAGTAAATGCTATCACTAGTATAGAGCTTTTTCATTGAGTATTTATATCAAATGTCAGGCGTTCTGATAGTTATCATTAGCCCATTAGTTGACTTCAGGCTTCACAGAGGGGAAGATAAACATCAAAGTGACAAAACGTCGAGAGAGGGGCAGAATAATGTTTCACAGACGTAAAAGAGACAGATAGACACAAAGGTAGAAAAAGGTAAGATGAGTACTGTGAAAGGGGTCGAATATGACAACCAGGGGGGTCGTGGTAGTTTGAAGTGGGAAATCAACTGCCGGTTAATAGACTTTTTTGCCGTATGAGTATACGTTGCCCAGGGTGCACCACGTGGAGGTAAGTCTATCGCACACCCCTGAAAATGTATTGATTTGCGATAGTTTTGTGAGACTTTATGCGCGCATTTCAAGCACTCTCCGCTCAATTAAAAAACGGTTCCTCTTTTGCAATTGATTAAGTATGATTTTATAAATATAAAAGGTATTTAAATCTAAATCGATACAAATTGCGCAATAAAGTAGCTTTCGATTACAAGTCAACGCTACTGCTCAGGAATGATTTTTTAAGATCGGTTATGTGATATAATCATTGGTC